CAAGGTCCCTTCCGACCCGACTTCTATGATTCTATGAAAAATGCAAAATCCATGGGTTTCTCTGCTAACATGAAAAATCTGAATTTTATTCCAGTAAAGGGGAAAATCTACATTTGAGGAAAGACTAGGGCAGGGGTAGGCAACGTTTTTGGCCGGAGCGCTGAAAAAACCACAATGCCTACCTTGGAAGGTGCCGGAGTGCCAGCATGCCAGAAAAACAAAATGAGAGTAGGAGGTACATGGCAGGATGCACTGAATATCAGTATAATTAATAATAATAAATGTTGCCTTTTATTTATTTATTTTTTTTACAATAAATACCAGATTTTCTAAAAATTGTTAACCCGGTGACAATAAATAAAACTTCTGATGCTATATTTGACCTTGTGTATTTGTTTTGTGTGGGTCCCCCCACAACAGCCCCCCAGCCCTGCTTGTGACCCTTCCCCCCACACAAAGCCCCTCCCTCCCAGCCCTGTGGGAGGGGGTCCCCAGCTCCCAGGGCTATGGAGCCAGGGACCCAGGTCCATAGCTTCCAGCCTGCCCCCAACAGAAGGCAGTTGGCTTAAGAAATCATGAGACTTAAAAATGCATTGGAGTCATTTACTTCTATTTCTATTATTATTATTATTATTATTATTATTGGTAGGTGGATAAAGATTAAAACTTTTTTATATTATTATTTTAAAACAAACCCTGAGATTCTCTCATCATGGGAAAACTGTAGGTTCTGAGTCTTGGAATATTTGGAATTTTTCTTTTAAGTTGCGGACTTGTAACATCACAAAATATTTCCAGAAGACCACTGCAAGGGCATTTTTGCGTTTAACATGTCTCCATTTCCCACCCAACCTTCACAGACCTGCTTTTCACATATTGTGCTACTTTTTGATACTTTAGAACAGTCACATGAAGCACATCACACTTCCCTTTGCTTTCTTTGATATTGAACTGTGCTGACCAAGAGCAAATTCAGCAGATTTGCTCCTTGACTTCAGAGGCGGTAGCTTTCTTTACAACATGCACCATCTATAAGAGCCAAGTTGCTTTTAAAAACTGTGCAACACTGCCACCTGCTGGCAAGTTAGAATGCAATTATTTACTGGTTTGTAGAAAGCAGGATAAATAGTAGGTGATAAACGTTTGAGATAATGGGCCAGAATCCCAGCCTGCATAAATTGTCAGAGTCGTATTGAAGCCATTTCTTTAAAATATATCCACACTCTTTGGTTTCCTTGGTATTAGGGAAGGTAAATGCTGATTTAGGGATAAATTCTCAGCTGCTCCAGAGAAGAGCAGAGCACTGTATGTGGGGTAAGACAGAAGGTGACATCAAATCCTGACCCTACAGCCCTAGAGCAAGTGAATCTTTAGATATCATCCGCTGCCTTGGCTCACTGCACTGACAAAAGTTAGAGTGCAGTGAACGCCAGGCTTTTGCCATGACATGCTTCTGATATTTACAGGTTCAAAAGGACGGAGACTACACACCAGTTGGCTAATCTTGGAAAATCCTCAGATGACATTTAGGGCATTTTTAGTGTATTGCTCTGACCATGCAGTGCCTTTAGCTAGAGTTGGGACTTAAAGACTTAGATGAAAATACAACTATAAGAGCACCATACTTATATTATTGTGTATATTAATACAACTAAAACATACACACAACCAGGCTCACCCCCATTGTTGATGAAGTTGCACCGAGCACACATTTAGTCTAAACAGCATAATTTTTTATGATGCCAATCATTTTCTAGTTTAAAAAAAAGCAAACAAGAAACTAAACTAAAACAAAACAAAATAATAGCTCAGCATTAATTTGGTTAGATTTTAAACACCACTAGGATAAATAGCCCATATATAATGTTGTATATATTCAAAGCACCACAGCAACATTAAAAAACTATGTAAGGCAGGTTGAAGGGATCCCAGACTTTTGTCTTACCTAGTAATGCTGGATTCATTTCCTGCCTAGGCTGAAGCCTGCCACAGAGTGACCGCATCACTTTAGCGCTTCCAAATCTCTTGAAACGGGACCGCACATGTTCATAATACCACTCCAAGGAGCCAATCTTTACAACCCTATGCAAAACAGAAACAGAGCAAGATGTGGGAATATACAGATATAAGCCAGTGTGGCCATGCTGTCATTGGCCAAGCTTCAACCCAGCACCTCTCAAAGTCAACAGAAAGTCTTTTACAGTCTTCAACAGTTGTCAGATCGGGCCCCAAAACGAAAGACAGACAGAAATCAAAATATAGGATCTACTTCCCTACCAGCGCAACAGGCACATGCATATCCACCCTCCTTCCTACTCTGAGTCAGTAAGACAATACTGGCATTTAAGCTAGACCTGCTAGGGACACTATTCCCATCTCTACGGCACATCCTATGGAGCATTACGCACCATCCAGCTGTAAGTGCCACAGGGATTTCCATTTTAATTTAAGTTGCTGTGTTTTTGGGATGGAATGATGGCTCAAGTTTCCTCCTTTATAAAATGACCTAGTGGGGCTGACTGAAAAAGACCTCTGTGGTCATTATGTGGCAGATTTGCGGAGTACCTTTGGTTTGTGGTAACTATATTTTCCCCAGAGGTATAAACCCCTGAATCTCAGGCCCTCTTGCAATACAACTTCTGGCTTTCCTCAAGGGAATGATCTGATACCTTGTGCTAGGAAATGTGTTACTAGTTAAGAAGACCAAGGGTCATAGTCTGTATTGTGCAATTCTGCTGAGGTCAAGGAAGCAGTGTGGGTGTAACTAAGGCCAGTACCAGCCCAAGAGCCTTGCAGCAACTGTAATGGTAACAACATTCCCTTCAGCAGCTCCGGAGGATGTCTGCACAGAGGCTCCATTTCCTCTAGGCTAGACTGTGAATAGCCCTCATGCACTGAGATGGCAAAGATCCTCCCTGCGTTTTACACCCCAGGCAAAGTTGTGTCACTCCGTCAGTCTCTGTGCCTGGAAGGTACAAGATTCATTCATTCCCTTTGTATGCCACAGTAGTCCAAAAGACAGGGAGGGAACCATGTCTCAATTCTCCCTCCCCATCCTGAGGCTGTAAGAGCCTGGACAAGCTCCAATTTCAGCCAGTGCCTTGAAGGCCTAATGGTACCACCTCTACTGCACACTACTGAATCCTCAACCTCCCTTTTAGAGTATGTACAACAATGGCTCCTTTTGTAAGTCTATCCATTCAGGGCAGAATATTCCTGCAGTGTAACACCCATCCTCTAATGGCACTTCTTTTGAGCAGAGTTCACAGCTCAAGGAGCGCCTGAGAAGGCTGGCCCAAGGAAAACGAGTGCCCAAGGAGAAAGCTTGTGTACCTGGTTCAGAAGTGTCACTAACATCTAACATCTAGAAAGTGCAGAGAAGCCCCAGGGAAGGTGAACTAACCTGAGGTTACAGGGGTACCCCAGTTACAACAGTATCAAACCTCCCTGGAGAGGGAACTGGTGCTCAAGAACCTTTGTGATCCTCTACCATAATATTTCTTTGCTGTGCCTACAGGGATTCTTCGTAAATACACCACTAGCTAATCCAGCTCTGACAAAGCCCTCTTCACTTATATATTTAAAAGCACTTTACAATGGGAGGGCTGTATCATTCCAGTTCATGGATGGGGTAGTTGAAGTAAAGAAGAGTTCTTGTCCCAGGTTACCCAACAGGCCAGGAATTAGTTAGGACCTGAACCCAGGTCTCCTGAGTCTCTGTCAAAACACTTATTCACCGGGCCACAACACCTCTCAACTTCAACCTAATTCCACTGTGTCCAGGCCTATATCACTCCCCTGCTGAGGTCAGGACCTCTTCGGCTCCCTTGCATCCCACATGCGCTCAGACCTGGCAGTTGGGCAATGTAGATGTTTTAGAGAAGTTCCTAGCATGTACCCCAACATAACATGGGCGAGACAGAGCACAAGCGTGTTGTGGGACACATGCCATGGCATCTACTCTGCCTAATTTCCAGGCTTGGGCACACAAAGAGCAAGAGTGAGTGGGAGGCACTTATTTCTCAGCAGAGGGCACAGACTCAGCAGGGAGGCAGCGGAGATGTGGCCTCCAACACTTCTTCCTTTAAGAGGTTGGCTGATCCAGTCCCTTTACCTGGATAAACGGCAAGGGTCACAGACCCAGCCCTGGTCCTTTTTGTTGTAGCGGCTGCAGTTCTTACAAGTGTAGAAGTGGCAGTCTAGGCACTGTCGCTTGCTGTTCACCAGGAACTTGAAGGGCTGCAGACAGTGGACACAGTGGGTTTCATTTAGGTGGGACTGATGGGATAAGAACTCCCTCTTGGTACTCTCTCTCTCAATCTTGCCTTTCAGATCCCTTAAACAGAACAAACAAACATACATCAGGAAATCAGAACGGGAAATGAATATAAGGGGGCTGAGTCTGAAAAAGTCTTATCAGAGCAGTCCAGCTGCAAGATCACATCAGTGTTACTGAGAACACAAGTCGACTCAATAATTGATTTTTTTAAACCTGTGTAACATGAGGACTATGATTTCATTTAGCACAACTTCCCCCATGACTAGCTCTATAAATGTGAAAGCCTAAGTCTCATGGCATGTAGAAAATGTCCTAGGGCAATTATCAGTAATGAATCATGTATTAGAAAACAGCAGAACTGGTTTGTATCTAGATTCACATTGAGTTTGGGCTAAGGATGGAGAGTTCAAGGCCAAACCTGAATCCGTAAAGACTCAGATTCAGAGCTGGCCACGCTGAAATCTTGTCAGCTGGTCCTTGTAAGACTGTGGTTGTGAACAGAACTGTCACTAGGTTGGCTGTTTTCACAAGACTTTGTCTGCGTCCAAAACATAACAGGGGCGTTGGGGTTTGGAACCAACTTACTGTTCTAATTAGTTCCAATCAGAAATTAAAAACCTTGCAATCACATCCTTAGGACTTCAATGAAACTCATTTTCCTTTCGCTGAGGACATGATCCAACAATCATTTATTTATTTTCACGTTGCAGGATTCCCTCTGGAGCATCAAAAATCTGGATTACATCCACAGGCATTTGGTTATAACTGGGGTTTGGGAATGAAGAGTATGGAAACTGGCTAAAAGCAGAGAGACTGTCTGTTCATGAGTCTTTGCTGGACAGTGCATTGTGCCTACTCTATTTTGCTACTGTGCCAATGCTTACAAAAATATTTCATTGGCTATTCCCATAGGTTTTGACCCAACACACAGAACAGTTTGTTAGTTTATAAGAAAGCAATTGTGAAAGATGTTCCAGCCCCACAAATGACCATCTCCTCCATGCTTTGCTTCACAATAGCCCTTTTCTGCTAACAAGCATTTTATTTGCTTTTTGGACACAAAAGCCTGGACTCAATGCAGGAAGCCTTCTGTGTACCCTGCGTTTTGAACGGCAGACAGAACTGGCTGAAGAAGCATTCCAGTCAGCTGAGCAAGCGCAAACAAACACCTGCGTATTAAACTGAATGATGTCTCATTACTTGAAGGTTTTCTATTTGTTCTCAGCACAATAGTTTAGCTAACACCTACCACAGGTTGTTTGACTTCTGGGCTATGATCAGGAGGCCTGCTATTTGATTTGTAGGAAAGGTCTTTCAAGGCTTGTTTTCTATCTGGGCAGGGCTCGGAAGCTGCCCTTTTTCAAACAGAATTAACATTGGTGTAACACAAGGGAAACCTCAATAGGCGAGTTGTTCTTAAAAGACCTAGACTGGAGCCAAAGTAACCTCATTAACTGCACACCACTGAACTGGCTTTAGTGTAGGGTCAATAAATGGATATTAGTGTGACCCATTCAGGGACAGGTCAATTGTCAGCTCAAAGCTAATTAATAAGAAAAGAATCCATTCAACCTTTTTTTCCTTTCAGGTACTGGGTGATGGTGGAGTGGACAGAAAGACTGCAGGCCTGCCCCGAGCCAAAGCGTGTGGGGCAGGATGGGAGGGCATGTTTCTCTGGTCCTACAGGAACCTTCCCAAATTTTATTCAGAGGCTGGGACAGACATCAGCTGCCAAGACCTGGGATAATTTTTCTTAACTGAGCTCCTTAGCCTTGGCTAAAACTCTTACTTGGTACAATCCAGAATAGTTTTATTACCTTGAATGAACTGTGCTGATTTACATTAGCTGTGAATCTGGCCCACTATGAGCATGCTCCATGCATTCGCATAGTGCTTAGAGTTAGATCTTTACAGTAGCAAGACCCTGTCCATCTCAATGAGTGACTTATAAAGGCGTTATTTTATGCTTGCGCAGCACATAGCACAAGAGACCTCAACTTGGCCACGTTCTGTGGTTGGTACCACAATAGAAAATGTGAAATAATATTAATTCCATGTGCCCAGTGCAACTTTTCTCACGGGGCTTATATGCTCCAGCTGTTTCTAAGGGAACTAGAAACTTTCACTAGACTGGTTTGTCATGTTTTCCAAGTCTCACTCCATTCCTCCCACTCCAGAGCTGCCAAGGTGATGACAGACCTCAGCTGAACTGACAGAAAGGCTACAATAACCACGTGACTCGTTAAAAAAATATATTTTCAGAAGTCAGGATCACAGCCTGCTGATCTGTTACTATATTCAGTGCTGAATGAGTAATCCAAGTGCAGCTGATACAGACTACCAAAGGAATCAAGAACACGTTTATACCCTAAATTTATGCCAGGCCCTGCATTCACTACCTCCTGAATGACTAACAGTGCAGCTGCATTCATAAGTGGATCCAGGATTATGGTGAGGGGGATGCAGCCACATCCCGTATGGTTGTGTAGTGCTGGCACAGTGAGCGGACGCTGTGATCCTGGATGCCAGTAAGCTCTTTGAGAAGAGAGCTGAAACATGGGCAATTGCCAAGCTAAGTCACAAGTGAGAAACTGACTGTCAGAGGACAGGGGCTGGAATCTGGAAAAAAGGCGTCAAGGCAGTTTGGGGCATGGGGAGTCAAGGCTGGAGCCTGGAACAAGGAGTCAGTAGGCAGGAATAAGGAGGAAGCCAGGAAACCAACAAGGTGGACCCAGACAACAAGAAATTAGGACCAAACAAACAGTACTTAAAACACTGGGAACAAAAAGACAGGATCCAAGGACTGGGAAATAAAGGGTCAATGGTTGGAACCAAGGCATCTGTTACACTGAGTAGCCTGCTGCTTATAAGCAGGCAGCTGCCCCATGATAGGGGCAGTTAGGCCACTGGCAGCCAGGCAGACTCAGTAATCAGGACCTGCTGGGGGCAATATAGCCTGCTTTCTGCCCTGCCTCCAGTAAGAAAGGGGACAACTTTTCTTCTCTACTTCCCCTTCCCCATCTCCTGCCATTTCATAGTTCATAGTTTCTAGGGTTGGAAGGGACCTGAACAGATCATCAAGTCCAACCCCCTGCCCTGGGCAGGAACAAGTGCTGGGATCATGATACCTCAGCCAGATAT